AGCTCCTCTCCTTGCAGTTAGAAATCACAAACGTGTTTTTTCTGCGTCCGTTGTGCTTTTCTCGCCGTCATGTGCCTCTCGGTTCCTCTTTTCGCCATCCAGACGTTTCCCCTTTTTCTTTCCTTTGGAATTTTTTTTTTTTTTTTAATTATTTCTCCCCCACCTCGTCGCATTTTGGGGTTCGGAGGTTCAGCACCACCCCGGGCTCCAGTGGCACCACCGTGGGACAGGCACTACCCGAGGCCCCGGTAATCCATCCCTCCCTGTGGGGTTTTGGCTGCGCTGGGTTCTAGGGAAGCTCCATCCAGGGGGTCCCAGGAGCCCCATAAAACGCTCACCACGGCTTCACCCACCTTCCTTCCACCGTGGGGAATGGACACGTTGGAGATGTCTCCAGCAAAAGGAGTCCCCGTTCCCTGTAGGATCTGGCAGGTGGCATCGCACCCCCCTGAAATTCCTCCGAAACCCCCGAAGAGAAACTCCCATGAACTCCAACAGCTCTGAACAAAGCCCGGTGTTTCCAGTTGTGCTCTCCACCTTTGGGCATTTTTGGAGGTGATGGGATGTCCTTAGGTGCTCCATAACCTTTGCATGAATAGTTCCTTTTCTCTGCATAAGCACATTCTTAAAGGAGCGTTGGGCTTTCATTCTCCACTTACTCCAACCGTCGGACTTCTCTGTTCACTTGTTTAAATCAAGCATAAAGCTCTAACTGTTCTTTGAATATTTATGACTAGTTTTTATCTCATGCCATGCATACAAAACATACTTGATTTCTTTCCTAAAAGTTTTTTCAAGTGCAAAGTTTTAAAAACATGTGGCTTTTATTGCAGGCAGGAATGAATAACAGCATTCCACCCGTAACCACATTAAATGGAACAGTAATATTCATATGCGTAAGGGCAAAAGCTGCCTTGTTTCCTATTTGCAGTTGAACTCTGAAATTAATTAAGAACTAAAAGGATCTGACAGTCATTAGGATCTTTTAAAAAAAAAAAGGAGTGGAAGTGGCAGATGGGACCCACGCTCCGAAAAGCGCGGCCGTGCTATCAATAGCGCGGAGGATGTGAGCCCCGAACATGCTCCTCGCTGCCGAGCTGCTGTGGGGAGAGGAGGATGGCGAAGAGCGGCACTTTCGTGACTCCAGAACCGCAGGATTCACGTCAGTGACACTCATGCTCCCAAAGTCACTTCGCAGCTTTTGAAACCCGGCTCATCCCGCCGAGTTATCGCGGCTTCGCCCGGAGCTGGTGTTGGGGAATTGGGAAAAAGCAGATTCCCCAATGGCAGTGGCATCACTCTGATTCTCCAGTGGGAGTGAGCACTTGGCTGTGAGTGGCCAAGGATGCAGGTGTGGGCGTGCACACGTGTGGGGTGCTCATTGACGTGAGGGCTGGCGACAAAATGTATTGGTATGCCCAAAATGGGGAGAACTGGGAGGACAGGCAGGCCCCAAGGCTGCGTGGAGTGCCAACGGCAGCTTCTGCAGCCGTAGCCTTTCCTGGGCATCCAGATGATGGTGAATGAAACCTGGCCCCAGGCAACCAGGTGGGAATCTCAAACTGATTTTCCCTGCTCGCAGCATTTCGTGCCAGGATCTGAAACTCTTGTCAAAGCCCTCCTCATCGTCCTCCTTCTCCTCTTCCTCCTCCTTCTCCTCTTCCTCCTCCTCTCGCTGCCCCAAGCAAGGATCTTGGGCGCCAGGACTGCATGCCCACAGTAAGGTGGGTGACCACAGCTCCCATGGGGTTAATGGATGTCCCAGCTCAGGATCCAACCTCAAGCTGCAGCTGTGCCCTGGGAAGTGGGTGCTGAGCAGGGCCCCCCACTGCAGGTATCGCCCGACCCCGGGGCACAGCAGCCTCTGAGCAGAGCCCAGTGCAGCCCTGCTGGAGTCATCACTGGGCCGCTCTGGCAGCTGGTCCCTTGCCCAAGCAAAGGCTTCCCCTGATTTATGTCTGGGGCAGCCGCTGCCTTTTCTCCCCCCGCTCCCCCCAGTTCCCCCTAATTTCTTCCCCTGGGCCCCACAGCTTCCTCCCGCAGGAACCTCTGCCTCCAGCGCCCACAACTGCCCCCTGGGAGCCCGCTTTGGCAGCGACACTCAGGGGTTAAAAATTGTCACCATCGTGCACCCCATTGGCCCCAGCATCTGTTGTTTGATTTATGAATGAATAGCACGCTCCCTCCCTGCATGCTGCTCTCAGATCCCCTTCCCTGAGCTACAAAATAGATCCAGACACCCGCGTGGCCCTACTGAGTGCCGAGCTCCTGAGAGTTTGCGATGAATTTTTAATAGAAAGCTTCCTATAAGCCTCTGCACTCGCTGCTCTGCTGTGGAAACGAGTGGCTCTGCTGCTAAAGAGCAGCTCAAATGAATTAAAAACTACAGAGGAGCCTGTAAGGGGAGTAATCCCAGCGAGTAATGATTTAAAGAGCCGCTGACCTCCCCGCGATGCGAACAGTAGCTTTTAAGTATTTGCAAAGAGGCCCGTGCAAATCCCGGGTCTGATACTCTATTAACCTCCTCGGGAGTGCAGGGAGGGTGGCGCAGGAATAATGCCCACGTGTCGACATCTCCTGGTTTGTGGAGGACCAGAGCAGCGGGAATTTTACTGCCTGCTTGAGGCTCTGAGTCCTGCTGTGCTGGAAAAGGATAAATCAAATGAAAACTCATTCCTGTTTGGGAGCTCTGGGATGGCTTCGTGTTCTCATGAACACCTCCTGCAGAAGTAGCCACTGGGTTGCTTTGCTGGGTTCTGCATCTCCAGAGGTCCCCAGGCGGTTTGGGGTTGTGCCTGGTTTGTCACTGCTCTGTGGTTTGGGTCTCAGATGGCTGCAAGTCAGCAGCTGGCTTTGTACCTACGTGCAGGGCCATGCTGTGGGTTGTGGGGGTGACTCTGCATCCCACCTCCCTAAAGTCAAGAATGAGGGAGGGTGGGAGGCCAAGGGTGGTGGAGAAAGCAGATTTTGGGGAGGGAGCAGGACACGGTACCCAGCATACCTGTGATTACAGTGGTGAGTAACTCAGGGTACTCGGGGAAGCATTTGGATAGTGCTTTGAGGAATCGAGGTGTTTAATTCAGTGCCCGCTCCAACAGGTTGCTACCAGTATAAAAAGGAATTAGAGAAATTTGTGGATGGCAGGGCTGTGATACAACCACTGGACAAATCAGTGACGGCAGGGAATGACAGCCGGGGGCTGTCAGCATCCCATCCCATCCCATCCCATCCCGTCCCATCCCGTCCCTCCCCGTCCCGCCCCGGCGCGGAGCCCCGGCGCCAACCCGCGGCCCCGCCGCCGCACTGCAGCGCTGCCCCCGCACGTTCCCCGTGTCCCCCTCCCGCCCCGGTTCATCCCTCCGTGCCCCCCACCTCGGGGGCACCGGGGGGGCACCGGGATGGGACGTGCAAACCCCGGCCCCGCCCTCAGCTCTGCCCCCTGCTCCGGGGGGTTTCTGCGGGTCACCCCGCGCTGCTGAACGGGGGACGAAAACTAGAACTAAACTTTCACCTAAAAAGGGAAGAATTGGAGTGCCGGTAACGGCGGGGGGACACGCGGGGCTGGCTGGGCTCGGAGCTGTGCCCGGGGGAGGCTCGATGGCCCCGGTTTGCCCGGCACCGATCGCGGGGGTGTCCCAGTATAACAGGGCGCTGAGACATGGGAACCGCCGCTCCTCATAATTTTATTTATATCTATATATATATATGTACATATTATATATTTTTTCCTCTTCTTCTTTTGGAGAAACACCGGGTTTTTCTGGGTCTTGAGGAGCCCGGCCCCGGTTCGCTCCTCTGGGCACCGCGGCTTGAGAGGGAAAACGGTTCATTACTTCAGGGAGAGAATTCTGGAAAAAGAGGGGTGTTTTTTGATGTTGGGGTTTATTTTGGTTTGTTTTTAAGGAAATTTGCGTTTTGCACCGTGCGGCAGCGCGGAGCCCGGAACGCTGCGGCCCGACGGGCCGTCCCGGTGCCCAAACACCATCTCACTGAGCTCAACCCCGGGGAACAGCCGGGCAGGACGGGCAGATGGATCTCCACCTCCGCCCCGGTGGTTTTCGGGCTGCCACCTTCGTTCTGTTCCCGCAGCACCGGTGGCTTCTCGCCAACGATTCCGGCCGGAGCAGCCGGCCCTGCCCGCAGCCGCAGCCCCGGGGGAGCCGCCGCGGGCGCTGCGGGCGCCGCGGGACCACCGGGGGTCGAGACGGCTCTCAGTTTTGGGGAGGGCGACGGGCGGAGGTTGGGGAGACGCGGTTTTCAGCACAGGCCATGGGGCGAACCTCCTCCGCCGGTGGTTACCGGCGGTCCCCGGCGGCTCCCGCCGTCCCGCCACGGGCGAGCCCACGCGGGGGCCGCGGGAGCGCTGGGCGGCCGGGGGACGTGCTGGATCTGCAGCCGCTCCGCTCTGCAGAGGCTACGACCCCAAACCGACCCCACTGAACCCCAAAACCTCCCCCGGCTGCCGCCGGACCCCACCGGGGCCCCGACGTGCGGGGGGGGCGTGTCCTCCCCGAGGCCGCGCCTCTTTCCATGGAGGCCACGCCTATTTTCATCGCTAACCACCCCCCTTTCACAGTGGCCACGCCCACATCCCCGCGGGATCCCGGTGATGGGCGGGGCCAGGTGTCTCCCCCCGGTCTCCCATTGGCGGGGCACCCCGTCAATCAGGGCGCGTCCCGCCCTCCCGCGGCGCCGGCAGTAAATAGGGTACCGGGCGGCGCGGCGGCAACTTTGGGAGCGGGGTGCGGGACGAGGCTGTGCCGGGGCTCCGGGCGGGACCCACCGCAGCCAACACACCGGGGACGAGCCCCGGCGCCGCGCGGGAGCCGACAGAGCCCGCACCGCTCTCCGTTCCCCCCGCCGAGGACGGCGGTGTGCCGGCACGGAGCGAGGCAGCGTGGGGCTCTGCCGCCGCTGCCCCCGCCGCTGCCCCGCCGCAGCCGGACCCCTCCTCGTCGTCCCCCCCGGGCCGCGGCGGCTCCCTGACGCCCGCCGTTGTGATGCGTATTCCCGTAGACCCGAGCACCAGCAGGCGCTTCACACCCCCCTCCACGGCCTTCCCCTGCGGTAAGATGGGAGAGAACAGCGGGGCGCTGGGGGCCCCCGCGCCGGGCGCCCGCGCTCGGCCCGAGGTCCGCTCCGTCGTGGATGTACTGGCCGACCACGCCGGAGAGCTGGTGCGAACCGACAGCCCCAACTTCTTGTGCTCCGTTCTGCCGTCCCACTGGAGGTGCAACAAGACGCTGCCCGTCGCCTTCAAGGTAAGTCGGGGGGAAAGCTCCGGGGAGCCCCGACGGCTCCGGGCTTGCGACCCGCTCGCCCCCTTTTCCCCTCCCGCTCCCTTTCGTGTAAAAATCGCTCCTGACATCACCGCCGAGGGAGTGCGGGTTATTATTTTTAATCAAATAGCCCGGTTTATTATTTTTAATCAAGTCTCCGCATTGCCCCGCGGTCACAGCATCTTAGATATTCTGTACAGTTAGGAGCTCTCAGGCAACTTTGAAGTTTAATGAGACGGAGGTTAATTACTTTCCTGGGAGAGGGAGAGCGAGGCAGGGAAGGGAGATCTAATCTGCCAAAAAAAAAAAAAAAAAAAAAAAAAAGAGAGAGAAAAGCGAAGAGCCGAAGCCCCGGCACCGGGTTGAGCTGCCCGGGCTCCCCCGTTCGCGGGACGGGGCGACCCGATGAGGCACCCCCGGGCCGGGCATCCCCCTCTGCGCCCGGGGGAGAACGGGGCTGGCCGGGGGGAGCCAAAAACCTGCCGGAGGAGCGGCCAGGGGAGCCGGGCAGGACGGCAGCGGAGTCCCGGGGAGCCCGGCGGGGGCGAGGGGGGATCTAAACCGCATTTGCCCCCCGGCCGTCCCGGCACCGGGAGCTCCGGGCGCTGCTCCCCGGGCAGGGGGGGCCCTTCTCTGCCAACCGGGCCGGCTCCCTCCGCCTCCCCGGGCCGGCCGCGGAGCTCCGGGGCCTCGGTCGGGGCAGCCCAGCGCTCGGCAGCCCTTTATTTTTTTTCCCCCTGAATCAAACAAAATAAAACCACAAACCCCTCCGACGGGACCTGACTCCCCCTTCGCCCCTTCCCCACCGAACCCCTTTCTGCTTTTAACCCTGTTTTTAGCTCGTTTTCCCCTTCCCCCTCTGATTTTTCAGCCTTCCTCGGGGGCTCGGATTGCTTTTGGTTTTGCTTTGGGGTTCTTTTTGTGGGGATTTGGGGGGGGACGACCGTAGGGCAGGTTGGCTTCGCTCTAGGTTAATTTTAGCCTAAAATCCTCTGGCCCTGCCCTAGGTCGTAGCCCTCGGAGATGTTCCCGATGGGACCGTGGTGACGGTGATGGCGGGGAACGACGAAAATTACTCGGCGGAGCTGCGGAACGCCTCCGCCGTGATGAAAAACCAAGTAGCAAGATTTAACGACCTCAGATTTGTTGGGAGAAGCGGCAGGGGTAGGTACCGACCGGGAAATGGTTGACCTTTTTATTTGCCTTTTTAGAGGGGGGAAAAAAAAAAAAAAAAAAAGAGAGAAATAAGAAAGAAAAAAATGTTGCTTATTTTTATTTTATTTAAAATTTTTATTTTATACCTTTAGTTTATTATTTAATTTTTATTTCTTAATCTATTTCGGTTTTAACGGTGGTTTCGTTGCCGCGGGCTAGGCAGGAGAATCCCCTCAGCCCCAAAGTGATTCCCGAGCGATGGGAGGGATGCAGGAAGGATGCGGGAGGGATGCGGGAGCAGCCCCAGCCCCACCGGCAGCTCTGCCTCACTCCTCCCAGGGGTTCTCCTCGAGGGGTTGGCTATGGGCGATGCAAGGGCGAAAAAAAAAAAATTTAAAATACACATCTAAATATATATAAATATTAATAAATCAATGTATAAATAAACCCAAGGCAGCCCGAGCCCAAATCCTCGCCGGTTTCTCTCCTCAGCAGGATGCGGGAGGCGGCGGGGTGTGCTCGGTGCCTCCCCTGCACAGGGAAATGGGCTCAGGGGCAAAACCCACCTGGCGGCTCGTTTTTAAATAGTGAAAATCGAGTGTTTAAAAATAACCCAGAGCTCGGCCTGACGGGCTGGCAGCGGGTGGGGGGTACGGCAGGCTCTGCTGCTCCACGGGGAGCTGGGGTTGGTTTTCCGGGGGGGGGGGTTGCACATTTTCAACAAGACAGAAATTTAGCTTTCTGGGTTTTTCGGAACGAATCAGACTGTGCCATCGCAGCAGAGGGAAACAAATCCCCTGGAAATATTAAACACTGAGCCCTGCCTGCCCTCCCTCCGTGCATCCCTCCCTGTGCCTGAATTTCAGAGGGTGTAAATAGAATTTCAGCGTTTCATCACCAGTGAATGCTGCAGGATCGAGCCCCTTAATTCCTCATTTAAACCAAAATAAGAACACTATATTTTAATGGCCATATGGCAGCATTTTCTCAAAGCCTTCAAATGTATACACACAGTGTCAGATATATTTTGACTTCTTTGCATTAATTAAAAGCAGTGATGTTAGGAATTATTTGCATGTAATAGCTGTTTACTTGTTCCTCTTTATGAAACTTGAATAGTTTACATTCTTTCATACATTTCCTTTTTCCTGTTGGCTCCTTCTCCATGTTGCAGTTTCTTTAAAACTCTCCACTTAACTGGTTGCAGGTTGATGGATGGAAAATGTTTTTCTTTTATGAATTAAGCTTTCATTTCTGTAATCAATTATTCTCTTAGGCTCTTTTCTTTCTGGTTGGGTATTTTGTATTTTCTTTTTTTTTCATCCCCGCACAAATTTCCAAACCGAATGCAACCCAATCTCAGCTTGACTCTTGAATTCATTATTAACTTGCTTCCTCTGCACTCCCAAGCTCTGAATTAACAGTAGTTCAGTCTCAGAAAGCCCTTGGGTGAATAATCTCCTTCCTCAGGCAGAGTCCTGACAAACGCTCATTACAGCAGCGCAAACACCTCCGCTGCCTCTAACGGGTGGAACTCGAGTGCTTATTATTATTATTTTAATTAATTTTTTTTTTACATATTCTTGCGGGATGAGGCTTCACAGGGAAACAGCCCCATCAGGGCTCCCCGGGGCTGGCGTGAAGGCGGCACAGTGGGGTTTTTTTCTGTGGCGTGGATTCAGTTCCCCGTGTCCAGCCCCGGCACGGGGCTCTTTCAGACCAGCTTAGCGTGAAAATTCGTCCCTGTTGAGTTTTTTATTCCTGGGTTTCCCTTGCTTGGCTCAGCCTCTGACAGCCCCCGGTGCTGGTTTCATTTACTCTGGCAGAAATCTGGGTACGCCACAGAACGTTTCGCTGCGGCGGGTGTACAAATGTTTGTGTAAATCCCGAGGGAGGACGTGGGCACCCGTAAACAGGCCCCACGCAGCCTGTCCGTGTGCCTGAGCTGCAGGAGCCTGCAACACCAGCAGCAACCAGGCTCCTGTTTTGAAAACACGGCTTGAAAATGTTCAGAATTGGGTATTTTTAGTGTTAACGTTTCTGGGAGCTGGGAAGAGCCGGTCCTAAATCCTCCAAAAAAACCCCCCAAATTCCCATCTCCATGACAAAGTGGGGTGAAAGACCAGTTTACCAGATTTTATGCTTTGCTCTAAAAGAAGTAAATCAACCCTTTTCTGCTCAGGCTGTATAAAAGGAAAGCCGAGGCCAGCGCGGTGCTGTAATCCCTGTGCACCTCCCTCCTGCTCTCCCTGCTGGAATATCCCCCTGGAGCATCCCACGGAGCCGTGGGTGCTCCCAAACCCACCCAGGAGCTGGGATCCAGCCCTAGCCATCAAAGCTGGGGCACGGTGGGAAGGAGTAACCTCAGCCTGGCTTCCTGAGAAGGCGGGAAATGAGTAAAAATGGTGCTAAGTAATAATTGCCATTTTCGATTCATGGGAGGGTTTCTGAGAGCTGGTGAAGAGACGCGAGACTGGCTCTGGCTGTCTCTGTGCTCTGTCCTCCCTGAAAAGCAGGGAGATTATTTCCCATGGAGAATAAAAAATTTAAAATAATAATAATAATAATAATAATAATAATAATAATAATAATAAGACTAAATAAAGTAAAGCAGCTGTAGCAGGGAGCTGGGCACGGAGCTGCTGCGCTCAGCTCTGGGGTGTTTCGCGTCTCACCGGCCGGATTTGCCCACGCGCTGCCTGCAAACCCTTCCCTGTCCTCCTGCAGAATTTCCCAAAGGATTCCTCCTCGTGCCCCCTCGTCCTGCACTCTGGTTCTGCCACTGCTTTGCCAACAGATCCTCGGTGCTGGTTGTTTTTGACGCGGCCGTGCAGGCGCCGGGAACCTCCGTGCTCCGCGGGCGGCTCGGCTCGTCCGTGCAGGTTGGCAGCACGACCGTATCCCTGGGGATTAAAATTATATCATTATATATCTATTTTATTTTTTTTTTTATTATTTTTTTTTAAACCTCCCAAATGCTCTTTTTGGTGCAGAAAGCGAGCTGCAGGTTTGTGCGTTGTTTAGTGCTGGTTTGAAAGCTGAGGTGAGGTGTGGACCGGTGCTTGCTGTCGGCTTTAAAGCCAGCGTTCCCCCCCTCTTCTGTGCTCCCATAAAGGAACTCTCCCACCTGGGATAATTGCAGGATGTTCTCCAGGGGAGATAATTGCATTTTTTTCAGTTTACGCTTTTTTTTTTCCCCCCTTCTAGCTGTATAAATGCTGTTTTGTTTGGTTAGGGGTATTCTCAGGTTCAGCTCTGTAGATAGATGATGATCAGGATCTGAAAAACCCTGAACCCTTCAGGGGAAAAGGGAAAGGAGGTGGATTCCTACTGTATTTATTTGTGGAGTGAAGGCTGGAGGAGCAGAAATCCATCGCATGGAGGTTTATACTTTATACCCTGCTGGGCTTTAGGCTTCTGAAATACCTGATACTTTTGTAATGCCTCAGGGATTGCTCTTGGGGGGTTGTTTCGAGTGGTTTGTGCAGCCTCCCTCTTTACCCCAGCGATTCCTGAATCTGGGGAGGTTACAGGAGAGCAAAGGCCCTTCCTGCAGAGAACTCCACTCTCCCACAGCCTCCCCACGGGCTGGATATCCAGTGGGAGACAGCACCACAGTCAGGCACAGAGAGGACAGAGGGGCTGGGATGAGGATGCCAAAGCTGTGGGAGATGAAGGGTTTGGGGTCTGGGTGGGCCCAGGGTGCAGGAGTGATAACACCATCCCTGATGCTAAAAGCATTTTCAGGCTGCAGATGGAACCTTGTTCTGCTGGGGCAAGGGGGGCACTTGTTTGCTTGGCTCCCAAGAGCTTTTCACTGCTTTACTCCTTTCTTTTTTTTTATTTTTATTTTTTTTTCATAAAAGGTGACAAGCTCAGTGCTTCAGAAATGTCTCTGAAAACCCCCTGGGCTGGTATCCAAACTCTCTCCCAGCAGCAGGTTCCTGCTGGGAGAGGGGGACGATCCCCACAGCCAGCAGGGCTGCCTGTCTGGTGCCCAAAGCTGGCCAGATTCAGTCCTCATTTTGTAGTTTCCTATTTTTGGGCCATTTCTGGGCCAGGGGTGTCCATGTGGCTCAGCTCCCATCCAAACATCCCTGCAGAGGTGCATCCATAGGCCGTGGATTCCCCTGCAGACTGATGCCACCTCACCAGCTTGTTCCCACAGGAGCATCCCATGGATACCAGGACCCCTTCAGGGAGGGGATCCTACATCCAGCACTGTGTTTCAGGGCTGGATTCCCACAGGAAAAGGGGAAGCATCTGAGCGGGGAAGCACCAGGAAGCTGCTGTGGGTGGAGGGGTCGAGACGGGGACAGGGCAGGGGAGGTGGGGACGAGTGACTTTTCCATCCAGGAAGGTCCTGGCTCCCGCTCTGAACCAGGTCCAAACCTCTCCCTGCTGCAGCCAGCTGAGCCCCAGGGGGAGCCGGCCGAGCTTTGTGCCTCGGCAACAACGTCTCGTAAAATTAACTGATGTGTGTCTTGGAGTTCGGGGGATGTGGATATTTGTGTCTGAGCCTGCTCCGGCAGGAGCCTTTCTATCCCCCCCCCTCCCACCTAGAGCTGAAACCATGTGAATATCCTCATTTCTCCTGTTGTTTTTGTGTTTGTTTGTTTTTTTTTCCCCTCCCCCACTACCCTCCTTAGGAAAGAGCTTCACCCTGACCATCACTGTGTTCACCAACCCCACCCAAGTCGCCACCTATCACCGAGCCATTAAAGTGACCGTAGATGGACCCCGGGAGCCACGCAGTAAGTGATGTGTTTTGTTTGGCAGCACTGAGGAGCGTGGGGAGGGGGGACGCAGGGAGCTGAGCTCTCCCTGGCCAAAGGCTGCAGGACACAGAGCCAGCTGGGGCAGCACATGGAGCTGAGGAGAGCGTTGGTGTGGCCAAGTGAGCCCAAAGCAGCGGGCACGGCTTGGCTGCTTGGCCTTCCTCGGCACAGAACCTCTTGCTCTCTCTCTCTGCTCCATATCCCATCTTGGAGGGATGGTTTTATAGCTCCTCCCTGTGCTCCATAACCCATTTGGAGGGATAGTTTCACGACCCAGGGTTGGGATGTTGGGGAAAACGCTCTGAGCTCCGGTGGCACAAACATGAAGGGTTCCAACCTGGCGCTGCATGGGGTGCGCTGGGGGGTGGTTATGGAGCCAGAGGTGCCTTGCTCAGCTTCATTGGCTGGTGGATGGTTTTTAAACTAAAAATGGTCGCAGGTTCCCTCCGTGCTGAGCTCGTATTTGCCTGTGTGTCGGAGAGCACCTTCCCCTTTGGGTCGCGGTGGTTTCGCTTTCGGGCCGTGAAAGGCTCGGGCTGGCAGCGCCGGGGGCTGAGCTGCTGGAGAAAACCAAAGGCACGATGCGACCGCAGAAGCGTCTCTGTTTTGGTGGGGGAGGCTCTCCCGGGCGCAGGATGGTGCCTCGTGGTTGAGGGAGGCTCTGTGAGTCGCCCTCGCCGGGTCGGTTTTCGGCGTCGGGCTGGTTGGAGCTCACCTCGGCGCTTCCAGCGATGCGAGGAGCGCGGGGAAACGCTCCGGAGCTGTTGGCTGGAGGAGTTTCCTCTTGCCATCGGTACTGTTTGCTCTGTGGGACCCCCCTGCGTGGTGGGATCTCCTCCCTGGGGGCTCCAGCTCCGGCTCCCAGCTCCGGCTTCGCCTTCCTGCTCGCTCAGCACCACCCCAGGGACTATAAAGCCGAGTTTGTTCCCTTCGCGTGTGAAGCTCTCAGTGCCCACATTGAAGGGAAACGGTTTGATCCTTCTAAGTACGCCTCAGAAAACATTTTCTGTTGATGCTGT